GCCTGGCGGACGTGTCGATAGCCGAAGACATTACGGTGGAGGGGGAGATTACCGTTCCTGTCGGGTCTCGCTCTCCTGACGAAGACTACTCCACGCTGGATGAGCCCGTTAGGGAAACCATTGTGAGTCTGTGCCTGCATCTGCGGTCAGTCGCGTGTCTTCCTGATGGCTTTGGCCAGCTGTTATGCAAAAGCCAATTTTGCATAGCTCTGCTTGACTGGTACTTCATCAGAAGTTTGGGGATTTTCTTTGTAGAACTAGCCATGTAGAATGAATTCTTGTGGGTCAAAAAATACCTGAATTACAGCCCCCAGTTTCTTTCTTATCTCAGAACCTTTGCAAGGGCAGAGGCCTCAGGTGGGGCTTGGGAGAATACTGTCCCAGCTAATAGGATTTTTCATTAATTTTCTTTTTATAGAGGAGCAAACAGGTTATTGTACTTTATTGTGTTTTATTAAAGGAAATAATATTGTGGTTGTTAAGGAATGGAGAAAAAGTAAGCACTGTTGGTTGCAGAGGATGCTACAGAAATTTTTGGGGTTGGATCCTGTCTCGGTTTAGCATCAGCACTCCTTTACTTGTGTCTTTCTGCTGTTAGTTGTCAGCTGTAATTTTTATGAAGGGATAAGTTAAAGTGTTACTTCTTTATTTCAGCTGCGAGATCTGAAGGCCGTTGGGAAGAAATTTGTCCATGTCATGTACCCGAAGAAGAGTAGCGCGCTCCTCAGAGACTGTACGTACAAGAAGATTTTTCAAAATCTTCAAAGGATGTTTTGCCAACAGACTTTGCCTGCGTGGGGAAAAGGAAGAGTTCGCAAGAACAGGGATTCAGAAGTGTCTGTTCCTTGCTCTTTCTGTTGTTGTAGAATCCTGAACAGCAAACGTGAAAAAGCAGTGTGTTACCAGCGCTCTTTAAAGGTGGAGCATGTGCCAGAGTACGGAGAAGGGGTAGCTTTAGCAGTTGGCAGGCTTTGAATAAATTACTTTGTAGAATGTGGCATAAGGTGCTAAGTAAGAGAATTATAAGAAAGCGTAATATGGAAAGTGATACACTGGGAGTTGTAAAAGGTGCTTTATTACCCCCAGGAGAAGGAAACACAGCGTCATTCTGTGGTATTCATGATTTTATTGTTTCCTTTACCTGCAGGGGATCTGTGGGGCCCTTTGGTGCTGTGTGTCTCGCTTGCACTGTAAGTACTTGTAGCGGGTGGATTTGGGTTTTTGTAGTCTTTTGCATTGGAGAAAGGAGAAACTAAAGATTTCCAATTGCATGCGTTGAGATCAAGTTCATCTAATCCTGCTCTGCTCTTCTGCACACGCTGCCTGTTTAGATTTTCTGATAAAACAGATTTGTTACACTTCAAGACCATTAGGGCCTCCCTTCTTTATGCTTGGGACTTAAGGGTGAACTCTTCATAGTCCTCTGACTTAAGAATGATTTTACTGAAAGATATTCTGATTCCCCTAGTCCTTGATTCTAATGCGTGTGGCCGGCCTTGACCCTAGCCTGCAAGCCAGAACCCTTGCCTAGGAGCTGCAGAGCACGTGCTGCGTGTCCTGGAGGAGCGCTGGCAGCGCGAGGCCCTTGTAGGAGTTCGTAGGTGGGAGGTGACGGTGGCTTCCAGGAGTTCCTGCGTGGGCAGATCTGCCGGGGGTAGGGTGGCCGTCTGGGTGATACCAACTGTTAGAGACATGCCTGCCTACTCAGTGTGCAGAAACCATCCAGTAAAATGTCGGTAAAGCTTTAGCAGAAGTACACAGTGTAATTTAAATATGCAAATTAATGCGTGCTCACTTTTCCAGGCTTTTTGTTGGTTGTGTCCTGTAGTTGTTATAAGCTGTCCTTGAGGCTTTTATGGTTTATCATGCGCTGTGCTGCCTGCTTTGAGAGGTCACCACACTTTTAGTAGTTGAATTTTAATCTTTTAGCCGGTGGTCTGTGGTTTTATTCTCCTCTGTATGCTTCCACAGTCCTCAAAACATGTAAACAAATGGACTGAAATGCCCTCAGTTCAGCCACAAACGTTTCCCTTTCCTACACAAAATTGAGGATACTGCAAGAAATAAGAAAATAGATGAAAAATAATCGGTCTGCAGCCTGACTTGGGATCAATGTTTTGGGCTCCTGTTCTGTCAAGTCTACGAAAACTCAGTGATCGACTGCAAGTGACTCCCTGTATCTGTTACCTGCAACAGGATGCTGCAGGGTGGATCCGCAGATAGTAAAGACGACGGCGGGCCCCAGTTTGCTGAGGTCTTTGTCATCATCTGGTTTGGCGCAGTGGTCATCACACTAAACTCGAAGCTGCTCGGAGGAACTATGTGAGTGCTGGGTTATTTAGTAGAAGGTAAAATGCTCCCGTGCGTGGAGTTTCCGCAGTGCTTTGGTTTGACCGCTTCCTTCCCGTTTCCCTCTTTCCTTTCCAGATCGTTTTTTCAGAGCCTGTGTGTTCTGGGTTACTGCATCCTGCCCCTGACGGTAGCCATGCTGGTGTGCAGGCTGGTCCTGCTGGCAGGTTCTGGGACCGTCAGCTTCATTATTCGTCTTATTGTGGTGGTAGCCATGTTTGGCTGGTCGACGTTAGGTGAGTACCGCTGCGCCTTGTGACGCCGTTGTGTGCCCTGAGCAGCGGCCGATCCGCCTGCGGTCTGTCGGGAAAGCCAAGGGGCGTTGTAGCTAAAGGCATCTCCTAGGCTGCGGAAGTATTGCAGAAGTAGTTCTTGCAGTCCTGCTGTCGGCAGAGATCCTGCCCGTGCTCCTCTTGAGTTTCGTGGCCGTATGCAAATTGCCTTGGGCAGAAGGATGATAATTTAGTGTTAAACCCCTTGTGAGATGACTGGGCATTGCATTCTGTGATCTGTCTTATAAATACTGTTGGAAAATGCTAATTTCATACAGATGCATTTGCATTATTTCTTCTGTTCTTAATCTGCAAGCTGGACTCTTGTTACAGAATGCTAATTAGCATTTCTCTTTCTATGCAATAATGATTGGTGACTATAAACCATTGGTAACGAGCAATGGATTAGTCTGCTTTCTCTTTTGGCATGATTGTAATGCGGATCCTAATTCACAACAGTGGATGTCTGCGGTGGATCTTAGACTTTTTGTTTTATGCTGCTCACATTTCTTTTTCTTTTTCACCAGCATCTACGGCTTTCCTGGCATCGGAAGAGACTGTGCAATACGGACTGGAGTTTTTTCCTGAACGCTGCAGTTAATCGTTGGCTTTATCTCCTTCTAATTTATATATAGAGATATTGTAAAAAGGCAGGTTATGGGATAAAGCCAGAGAACTGCACAAACTGGTTGGCTGCTTGTCCCTCTTTTTGAAAGATGCAGAGGTCCAGCTGCTGAGGGGTTTTTTATTTAACCCTGCTCTTTACTTGCGTTAAATAAAAAATGCCCGCTGTGACGGGGGTTGTTCCGCCTGAGGAACAGAGCGGGTGATCCTGGAATTTCAAGATGTTGGGTAGATGAAGTTGTAGCGTTGCACGACCTGGCAGAATTCTTGCCTGTGCTTGGATTCTCACTGAAGATGAATATGCCTTATGAAATAATAGAACTTCCTTGCTGTTACGTGATGGGTAGGGAAGAAATCCGTTTCACTCCTTTTTCATTCACTTACAGAGTGGTGAAATGTATATAAAGTGCTTCGTGGGACTGTGAGCTTTCACTTTGAAATCAGATTTCAGCAAAAAATAAGTGGGGTCCACTTTGCAGTTAGCTGGAGCTGGGCGGAAGGGAGCTGCCTCTGCTCGCATTCATGTGTCGTGTGTTTGTTTCATCCCTTTGTATGTCAAGAAGGAGCGTTCCGGCCAAATGCCTTCACCACCGTAGTGACTCTGACTGGTCTGTGGGAGGGAGGGACTGTGTTTACGCTGGGCAGTCGCAAATCTTTGCGTGTGACCATGGATTAGAGAGTGAAAAGTCCTGGAGAAACAGTCAAAACTGGCTTGCAACAGGGACTTAGCTGTCACTGCATGCAGAGAATGGGAAATTGTCTGGAGGGTACCAGGTATAGTGTGTGTATATGTGTTAAAAATAAGTTTGTGTGGAATGAGTTGGGGTTTCGGTACGTCAGATGTTTGGGTGCTAACACACCACACCAGGACTTACGCTGGAAAGTTTTAAAACGGGTTGGAGGAAGAAAGCGAAATCATCGTGGAGGTGGTGGCTGCTGCGAAGCTGGGTGTGAATTCGTGTGTGACTCTTCATGTGGTTGTTTACATGGACAGCGTCTCAGCATAAATCCGTACCAATTTGCATATTGTTTCTTTGTACTGGTAAAGGGATGTGAGAAACTTTTCTATAGTTTGGTTGGGTTTTTTTCCTTAATGCCTTTTATAAAAGGGGAGGAGGCTTGCTTCTCCACTTCGCTGTAGGTGCAGTTGCGTTCCTCGCCTGGAGAACCGCACGCGCGGGTCCGAGCGTCTCATTTGTGTTTCAGCTTAGGGCTGGAGACCTGCAGAACTGCTTTCTGGAAACCGTACAGCAATTATTTATGTTGTCCGCTATTTTCAGTAAGCGGTCCAAGAGGAGAGCTTTGAAACATCCAGGGGTGAAAAAGCTGCGGTTAAAATGTCACTTCTGAAAAAAGAGCACCACACTTGCATTTTCCTGTGGTAATGCAGATAGACCTGAAACTGATGTCAGTGGGTCCTGCTGAGATGTAAATATGTTTGTATTTATATATAAAAGTGCAATTTCTGCTATAAACACAATGACTACTTGATAGTTGGGATGGAAATTTCTAGATGTGCAGATTCAGATACTTTTTTGCATTTCTGGGAGTGTGGAGAAGGGGGAAGGAGAAAGGGGTTGCTCTGGGCGGGGGACGCGCGCGCAGCTTTGCTGCAGGGCAGGCGTTACTGGCGAGGGTGCGGAAGCTGGCGCTGTCCTTGCCGCCTCCGTCCGTGGCCGCTCCGAGGTGCTGCAAGAGGAGCTGCAGCGTTTCGCAGACAGGGGTATAAAATGGAAACGGGAAATTTCTAAACTTCCGTTGATTATTGCTGGTATGGAATGCGACTTTTCTTTTAAGTGCACGGTTTTCCATTCATTAAAACATTAGTCTAGCTTTATGAAACCGAAAAGAGAAACTCAAGGGAAGTAGATAGCAAAGCTATTGATGGCTGCAGTGGGGTTCTTTGAGCCCAATCTTGCCTACTATTTAACCATACCTTTATAAAGTCCTTAGAATTCTGTAGTGTCTGGTGACTTAAGCTGGTATTGTGTCTGGAAGGTAATTGGAGTAACATTTAATTGATCCTGTATCTTTTTGAAAAGAAGGAAGATGATTTTTAAGAGCAATTAACGTCCCAGCTTTTTTCCTTGTTTGTTTTTGACTTCTAAGTCTGATGGTGGTTTGTTCTGTAACGTTGCTTGTGGCTTACACAATATGAGAGAAGATAATTATTTTTATATTAACTAGATTTACTTTTCAACTGGTCACAAGCTTTTAGGTGAGAGGTGTTTTTAATCTGAAAGAATAGGCAGAAATATACTGGTTATATGGTGAAGCTGTGGGATTTTGTTTTTTGACTCGTGGTAATCCTCATTTAGTGTGGAAGCCATCATCTTCTAAAGCTGTAAAATCTGTAAGTGGATTTAGGTCACTGAATACGTAACTTGCCCTAAGGTTTTAGCTGGCAGGATGCAGGTAGGAAACTAGATTTTCTGAGTTTTCATGCCTCCGGTTGAATAAAGTTACATGTCTTATCTGTAGTGTTTTTTTTAATTGTCATTTCCTCTAGCAGGGGGTAGAGGACAGTAACGTCCTCAGCCAGGCATTCTGGTTGCCGCAGCTCATTGCGAGGCTCGCCTTGCTTCTCAGCTTTCTGTCGCGTGAGATCTGCTTGGTGCCAGTACACTTAAAAGCACACGGTGTATCTTGTCAGAAATAATTTCGCCACCACAAAGTTACAATTGATTCCGTAAGAGCTTCACTGGGAGGGGATTGGCCTTTCAGCCTGGGAGATGATCATCCGGTGAAAACCAGCCCTTTTTGTGAGTAGAATATAATTGCTTAGAAAGGCAGAGAGCAAGCAGTGAGCCATCAGGCTGACTGAGTGAAGATGAACTGTCTTATGTGACTTCAAGAAATTAAGAAGCCAAAGCTGGAATTTGTTTCTCAGCCAGACGTTGATGTCGTGTCGAGCCACCGCTTCCCGTGAATGGGCTTGCCCCTCGGCAGCCGCTGGTTCCCAGAGCGCTGGGTATGGCCACAGTCACGCGCGGTTGGAAAGTTACAGGTTTCAGCAAGCGAAATACCTCGAGCTTATTTGATATTTGCCACCTCCCTCCTCGCGTGCCGGCCCCGGCAGAGAGGGAAACCGGGGCAGCCTTGCCAGGGTGGGCCCAGCTGCAGGGTGCTGCGCAGCCCGGCCCTCCAGGGAGGAGGAGGAGGAGGAGGAGGACGGGGAGACCCCAGCTCTGCTGCAGGGAAGGGGACTGTCTCCTGGCAGCGTCCCACCTCCCTCGGCGCGGCAGCCGTGGCCGGGCGGCAGTGCCCAGGGGGGGGGGGGCCCCCCTCCGC